ATAAATCACATTTCAATGCTCATACAGACACCATCTTTAAGGACCTCGGTATACTAGAATTTAATAATATCCATTTGCTTCAACTGGGCCAATTTATGTATTCTTGCAAAAATTACCTCCAAGGTTTAATAACAATTTTTCTCAAAGGAATCAATTCCACTCTTACAATACAAGAAATTCCCAGGCCTACCGTCTACCGTATTGTCGTACAAACACTAAGAAATTCTCGCCCTTTTTCAAGGGCCTAAGTTTTTTTAATTCACTTGACAACGAGGTCATCAACTCTCAATCCCTTTCCTCTTTTAAGAAAAAACTGAAGATTAATTTTATTATTATTGAGTAAGAATGAAAACAGTTCATAAATCTTTCCATCTTTGACTTTTCGCCATCTTTTCTTCAACTGATGTGAAACAGCTCTAGCCCGTAGTTAAAGGAGGCCTAACCTCTCATAAGCCCCCTATAGTTTCTGTTAGGCCTCCTCACCACTTCTTTTTTTCTTCTCTTCCTATATTTTTAGTAATTATTGTGTGGCAAATAAAAATAAAATAAATAAAAAAATTAATAATTCTATTGAAAAATACTCTGGGGACGTATTTAAAGCTGTTCAAAGCACTCACAGCACGTGTTTTATCACTGGTTAAAAATTCTTGCACCTAATTAAACACTGCTGTTCATGGTTTAAACATTTCTTATAAACTGTTCATAAAACATTAAAACCTACAATGTAAATCAGCACAGACTCCACATTTATAAGAACTTAATTCTCTCACCCTGTGAAACTGTTCACCGTTTGTTTCAAATACTTCCAAAGATAAGGCAAGGATCTTGTTCTGATCAACTCTAGTAAGAAATAATGAAACAATTACAACAACAAGGAAGATTAACAGAATATATATGATGTAAAGGTCGTATCAGTATAGCATTAGATATATACGCAGACCTATCGCCACAAGATGAAAACACTTATCAAGAGCGGTCCATAATGACTTCTTAACAAATAAAGATCCTCCTGACCATCTGAGCAGAAAGCTAACTAAAAATCTTTTAGATCTCAAGCGAAAAAGTCACCTGACTGAATCTGTAAACAACCAGATTAAGCCTAAACACAAACAACCACCTAGAATCTACGGTCTACCTGAGATACAAAAATCGAGCATTCCTCTGTGACCTATAGTTTCTTGTGTAAACACCTTTGCCTACGATTTATCAGCCTATATTTAGCCGACATCTTAGCTCTCTTAATGGGGAAGTCTGACTACATGGTTAAATATTCAGCCCATTTCTACTATTAACAAACAAAGTTGATGAATTCCTTCCGTTTGCCCTACTGCAGGACAAATGTAAGGAAATTTTCACTTCGTTTTCAAGGGCCCAAAATATTTAATTCCCTTAGCCCTGAAATTCAGAATGCCTCTAGTACTGCTTTGTTTAATTCTAAACTTAAGTCATTTTTTCTTGGCATAAGCACACTTTAGCTCTCCTAATGCTTGTGTGTAGTTTTACGCTTCTTGTTTGTTTGTTTGTTTGTTTTTTTCATTCATTCTTGCATTATTTTTTCTCATAATTTCTTTCTCGATTTTACACTTACACGTTCAGCCTTTTCTATTTTTATCCTGTTCAATGATTATTTTCTATGTTCCAACAAATTGTGTGTACTTAGAGTTAAATTGCCGATGTCAGTATTGTAATTATTAATTAGATGACATAATTCGCCTATACACAAGCCTTATTGGCTTCCTTGGGCTCCCTTGCCTCATCTTATTTTTTAAATTTAATGTGTATATTTTGTGTTTTTTGGCAAAATGATAATAAAACAATAAAACAATAAAAACAATGAAATCGAGATCATGGTATCATTCAATGTAGAATCTTTATTTACAAACGTTCCAAATGAAGGCACTGTACAAGCAATGCCACAGAAACTAGAGAGGACCCACCCCTTGCTGATCCGACAACATTAACACCTATGCAGTTTGCTGACCTTTTTAACTATATTTTAAGGTCCACATAGTTTCAGCATGATGGAGCAATTTACGAACAACAAAATGGCGCAGCCGTGGGAAGCCCAGTTTCTGCAGTCATAGCTGATCTCTATATAGAGGAATTCAAACAACAAGTGCTAGTAGTCACCAACCGCACCTAAAATCTGGAAACGTTATGTTGACAACATTCTTACCACCCTAAAATAAAAGGATGTTGAAAATTTTCTACAGCATCTCAATGCTCCACAACCAACCGTCCGTTCTACAAGAGACTGAGAATGATAATACCATTCTTTCTCTTGACACATTGGTCATAAAAGATTCGAAAGGACGCCTGACTAAAAGCGTTCACAGGAAACCTACACTCACAGATCAGTACCCGTTTTATAACTTATACCACCCTCAATCAGTTTAACACAGTGCTGTGAAGTACTTGTACGATCGAATAAATCATCACTAAACCATTGGTTATCTGTGATGAAAAGAAACATTATACCTCTGTCCTTGTGACTCTAGTCCTTGTCCCTGTTCGTTTGTATGTAACATCACAAAATCCAAGAATCAGCTAGTGTAGGGAACAGTATTGAGCCCACCCCCCACAGTTTAAAAATTGTCAACATTGTCATGTGATACGATTGCATCAGAAAATTGAGAGGACATGTGTATAAGACCATGAGATTTTAAAGAATACAAAAACAAACTGAACAAGACAATCCCTGCTTGTGGTTTCTCTTTTATTTTACTTCGCTTTCCACAAGAACCTGGCCATTACATTTTGGCGACCCTGCCAGGACATGTCAATGGGGGAATTTATTCAACTTTATACATTCGCAAAAGATGTTTACATGTGTTAGCTTCGAATGTGCAGCTATCGCTAGCTCGTGGCCTCGATACTTGTGCGGATGGCTCATTCATTCTTGTGAGAACTGATTTGCATTTGGAATGGAAGTATTGCTCTGATGCGTGTTGCTCTCGCTGAGTTGTTTCAGTTTATTTTTGTCGAGTTTGCGAAGAGGAAAGTCGAAGACTATGGCCGCGCAATCCGAAGTGGAAGAGCTCCAGCTTCAACTTGAATCGAAGATTTGCAGCATTGATCTGAATAGTTTGGTGGAGCTGGCAGTGCATTTAAACGTGGAGTGTAAGAAATTAGGAAAACTTGCTCTGTCGAAAAAGATTCGTGAAGAAGTGGAAAATAGTTTGACTGAAACTGAAGATAAGAAAGTATATTTGGTCGGCCTTCTTGCCTTTGTAAATGGAAAACCACCGCCACTTGAGGGTGACGCAACTGCGAATAAAGAATAAGTGGAAGTGAAGCATGAGTGGCTTAATCAGTCAGGAACACTAAAGGAGAAAACTGAGACAAAGGAACCCAAGGTACATTGATGTTAGTAAAGTGCTAAAGCGCGATTTCAAAATTCATGGCGTCGTAGCAAGAGATAATTGTAAAGATGGACTTTTGTTTGTAAGTTTGTCCCGTCAAATAGATGCTGGTCTCAAAGCGGGCTACAAAGAAAATGAAATTATTGACGCAGTGATTTGAGCAGTAAGCCCCAGTTTACAATTGAGGTCGTATCTGGAAATGATACAGGACTTAACTTTAACCCGTTTGCGTCTTATAATGAAAGCTCATTTTAAGCAAAAGTCGGAACTGAACTGTATCAGGAATTGTCTAACCTGCGCCAAGAGACAAGTGAGACCCCTCAAGATTTCCTTGTACGAGCCATGAGTTTGAGACAGCAGATTATATTGGTGTCCAGTACAAGTGATAGTCCTAGTAAGTATGAGCCTTCATTGGTACAGTCCTTGTTCCTGCATGTGTGTTAGAGACTGGGTTACAGGATGAAGCTGTGAGGGCAAAACTACGTCCTTTCCTTGAGAAGACTGTGAGTGATGAACAGTTGCTGGAGACAATAAATCAGATCATGTCAGCAGAAATGGAACGCTACAATAAAATGAGTTCAGGTGGTAAGAAGGGCTTGCGTGTTAATCAAGTGGGGACTTCCTCTGTATCCAGCAACCCTGCCCCGGGACAGCCAGGTCAAACCTCAGAGCGAGAGTGCTAAATCAGTGAAAAAGGAAGCTAAGCCAAACAGTTTGGTTACAGCACTTGAAGCTATACAGTCTGACCTTACTTCTCTAAAGCAGGCTTTTGACAAGGCCCACACTTCCTCAGAGAGAACTGCAAATGAAAAAGATATGGATCAGCTAACCAGTCACAGTTTAGACGTCGCAAGTGTACTGCATGTTACTCAGCCAGTGTAGAGAGGTGTGACCACTGTTTCAAATGTGGTTCAAGTGATCAATTTGCAAGAGGATGCAGAAAAGGGCGTGGTTAGGCAAACGAGAGGAGGCTGCACCCATGGGACAGGGTGTAGCCGGGAAAGCCATGTCCCATGCCTGTCGGTTCTGTGGGAAAACAGAGGGTAATATCCCTCTCAAACAGTGTAGTGGTTGCAAGGCTGTGAGATATTGTAGCAAAGCATGTCAAGCAGATCGCTGGAAAGAACATAAGACACTTTGTCAAGCTATATCAACTTTGGCAGACCAAAATTATCACCAAAATTAGACTCAGGCTTGTCCATGTCTCAAGCAACGTCAACCTAACTTGAGTACCCGTGCACCACTTACCAGTGTTACCACTTCATCGCCTTTTAAACTAGTGTCAATCGACTTCTTGCATCTAGAGCAGAGTTCTGGTGGATATGAGTACATCCTGGTCATTGCTGACCATTTTACCAGATTCGCACAAGCCTACCCAACAAAAAAAAACAAGTCAAGCACTACTGCTGCTGATCGCCTATATAATCACTTTGTTCTACGATTTGGTTTCCCTGTAAAAATTCTCCATGATCAAGGTCGAGAGTTTGAGAACAAACTGTTCCAGAGATTACATCAACTAAGTGGAGTTACTCGTCTTCGTACTACACCATACCATCCTCAAGGGAATGGAAAAATGGAAAGATTCAATAGGACTTTGTTGTCCATGCTCAGGACTCTCCCAGAGAATCTGAAATCGAGATGGAAGGACTCATTGAACAAAGTTGTGCATGCTTACAATTGTCAAGAAATGACGTCACTGGGTTCTTGCCATTCTATTTGCTTTTCGGGCGGTCACCTCGTCTTCCAGTTGACTTGATGTTTGGTCTCTCACGGGTTGAAGCTTGTGTAACTCATCGGGGGTATGCAGAGAAGTGGCAGATCGCTATGAAGGAAGCCTATTCACTGGCCGCAAAGAATAATCTTCAATCTACAGTCGCTGGCAAGAAGCAGTATGATAAAAAGGTGCGGTTTTCAAGCTTGCAACCTGGAGATTGAGTACTAGTGGGCAACTTGTCGGAGCGAGGCGGCCCAGGCAAAGTCAGGTCTTATTGGGAACAACAGATTCATGTTGTGGTTGGGCAGAGAGGGAACCTTCCTGTTTACGAGGTCAGGCCTGAAGGACAGACTGGGAAGCCTAGAGTGTTGCATTTATCTATTACTGCCGTGTACTTTTCTTCCAGTTGACCCACTAGAACCTCCCCTCCATTTCATTCGAGAAACAGTGAGTGCCAGTCCTTCCCAGACAGTTGCTGGCAGGCCTCAGACTTATGAATTCGGCGCAAGTGAATCAGAAGATGAGGATGAACCCTTTGGTTTGTTGCCTCCAGAGTTTGAGACACTGCAGATGTCTGCACCTACAGGAGACCCTGAACGTCTCGTGGCAGACCAGCCAGAGCAGGATACAAATGAAGTTCTGACGGAAGATGTAGAGACACCTCATCATGATGAAGTCACAGACGAACCTGTGCTACCTGACTCTGAAGCTGAAGACGACGTCATTACTGAGCAGGAGGCGGAACAAAACCATTGCCGCCCTATGCGTGCCCAACGCCCACCAAATGTGCTGTGTTATGATCAGTTGGGAAATCCTAGCTATCACCCTTGCAATGCCTCAAGTGTTCAAGTACCAACAGCCAATATTGTTCCTGGTCAATTGATGTACAGTCCACGTTGTCCGCCGTGGTTGGTTGCAACGCCATAATATTATGGATCACAAAGCCTGCAGAATTATGGGGGACCATCCTGTTACGTTCCAGTCCATCCACACGCTGTGCCTTGGTACCCTCTGAATATGTTCCAGTGTATGCAGTTTCCAGTTTGCTGAGGATTTCGCAGGACATTGTCAGACTTGAAATTTTGAGACTTAAGATTTTAATAGTTGTTAAAGACAAAAAAACGAGAAACTTGTTCAGTAAACAATTGAGATACAATTGAAAAAAAAATCAGTGTTTTATCACGTGAACATTGGCTTTATCAAAGAAGGACGTGAGATGAAACTTTCTCTGTAGGCCTGATCACCCTATGAGAATATTTGTTTAGAAACAGTCAAACTTCAGTTGGTTGCTAAGTATCAGTTTTTAAAGGATAGAAAGTCTTTGTTTCGATGTCCAGGAGGACATCTATTTTAGAGGGGGTGTATGTAGGGACAGTATTGAGCCCACCCCCCACAGTTTAAAAATTGTCAACATTGTCATGTGATACGATTGCATCAGAAAATTGAGAGGACGTGTGTAAGACCATGAGATTTTGAAGAATACAAAAACAAACTGAACAAGACAATCCCTGCTTGTCGTTTCTCTTTTATTTTACTTCGCTTTCCACAAGAACCTGGCCGTTACACTAGCATCTAACAAAGAACCCACAACTGAAATTAAATCTACACTGGTTCTACCATACATCAAAGGGTTATCCAAACCACTTTGTCGTTGCCTAGAACAGCATGGCATACGATCTGATTTCAACTCCAATACAACACTAAGATCACACCTAGTGCATCCTAAGGATGCTGTTGATCCACGAAAACAGGATGGACTAGTGTATGAGATTACTTATAATTGCAGCAAAGTATACATTGCCGAAATGGGAAGGTGGAAGCATGAATGGATAAAGGAGCATGAAAGGCATATACGGCTTTCAAGAACTCAAAGTTCAGCCGTTTCTGAACATGCCAATAAGACCGCACATTATCTGCTCTGGGATGAGGTTAAGTTTCTTGACAAAGACCCATACTGGTACTCTCATAGAGTTAAAAAGGCTATTCAACTAAGACGTCACCCTAACAGCATCAACAGGGGCGATGGAATTGAGATTCCTGAAGAGTGGATTCCTGAAGTGTGGATCGCAGCCAATCTTTACCACCACGCACCGCTGTGGGAACAGTTTCCTCCTCTAATAATGGCTACAATGCTTTGGATCAAAAGCCACCAACCATGAGCAAGGATTGTTATAGACCAATCACTAACAACCATGGTGGTAGAAATAGTTCTACTCAGTAAATCGACCTTAAATGCCTGATGAAGACCTGCAGTACGTGGCCGAACTGTCATGATCAATATCTGTGAGCAAATCGTGAGACTAACGATCAATGAAACCCTTTATACACATAATCCACGATGAACAATATCTTTCATGACATAACAGGAAACCACTAAATCGGCCAATACAACACATTGTGGCACAGGAATATATTCCACAGGAAACTGAAAAAACGTGAGTTTGAGCGTATGGACGTTAAAAGATATATACGGTTAAAGGAACATCCTGATAGCATCTACCAGTATGTTGGCAGCATTGTCCCCACATTCACTCCACGTGTCTGGGACCAAGGCATAATAAGAACACAAACGATGCACAAGAATTTTCATTGCAAATGCTGGTTTCAGTCAACTTCCTGGACATAACACCCTGGTTAAAGGAATGTCAAGCAATACACAAGCTCACCAAAAGTTGAGAAGTCAGATAGTCTCAAGATTTATTCACTTTTATCGAGAAAAATAACTGTTTTGTCCCAACCAATCAGGATTGAAGAGTTTTAATGTTTAGAACGGATTTTTAGTGCTAAAAAGAAATGTTTAACGTAAAGAGTTATCAGTTCCACTCTTTGTCTGTTTTGACTAGATAAAACAGATACTTGCATTAAAGACTTTTTTTGCGTTGCTAGGCGATCGCTCCTTTAATTCTTCTTTAACTTATTAACTTATTTTTCATTTCCTGTTTTAACTTTTTACATTCCTGATTTTTAGTCTTTGCCTAGTTTTTTTTTTGAGGAAGATGATCACAACGTCATAGGGACGCGCGAGAAGACACGTGAGCAGTCGCCTACAAATATAGGCGAGGAGACAAATGGAGAGGCAAATCCAGATACTTGTGAGGAGACGCCCAAGCCGTTTCTGGGAGCAGATGCACCCAACTTGCCTGGTAGTCCTGTTAAAGCACCAGGAAGGTACCAACGCATCCGCAACACGCACAAGTGCACGCAAGACTATGTTCTTACTTTGGCATAATATAAGCTTAAGGACTCTTTTCCAAAGAATTGTATTTCATTTATTTTGTTTTGAAGTTTTTTTCTTTGTTCTATAAAAGTCTGTTCACTTTAACCTTGTTTACGCAAAGTTTCATCGGGTTATTTCACAATACAGCATCTTGAAATTTTTTACTGACAAGAGTAGTGATCGGGACGCTAGCTTTGTGTACTGTTTTTAACTTTCCATTTGTGTATTTCTATGGCACTGCTACAAAGTGAATTCTGTGAAACAAAGATGTTTGATGGCTTGTTTATTTGGTTTTCGATTGAGGAAAGTGCATCTATGACTACGTTAGCAGGCTTTCACAGCAGTGTTGCAGAAACCTTTGGTGTTGGACTTTTAATTAGCGAAACAATTCATAAAAATTTCCAAAATCACCTATACGGCCAGCCGGTTCTAACTTTTGACAAGCGCCAAATCTGCGAAGAAATTTTAAAAGAGTTACGCTTCAACGTGATAAAGAATTTATTGAGTCTATTTTTTATTCATGGTTTTATAACGATGTGTAACCTTAAAAAGCGTTTGATACGCTCGGCATTTTGAGTACTCCTGCAAGCGATGTTTATGAACGGCTGAAAACAAACGGCAAAGCAATGAAAATTACACTTTTGAGACTACCAACAATCAATAAAGAAATATAATTCGTTAGAACATTTATAGAGACAACAATTTTCATTCACGAAAACAAATGAGTATTTAAGTGTCTCTAAGAATCCTCAAGTCTTTACTAGTAAGCTTAAAGATTAAGTTTATGTTTTAAGCCGCCGGTTTCCCGGGCCTGTTTGCTGTTTTCAAAGATGAACTCAGGACAAGAAAATCGCTCAAAGCTTTCTTTCTACAGCCAAAATTATAACTAAATATTCTTCGGAAAGTCTTTTCTTTCTGTTTAGGGTGAATAAATATGGACCAAAGGCTTTTTTAAGTTCTGTAAGCTTAAGCTTATATCAAACCTCATACTAGGTCAGATCAGTGTCTCAGTCAAATCTTAACACAAACTTGCATAAACTAGCTTCATAAACTGCGCCGCTGGACTTCGTAAAATTAGATATAAATACAACAATTACTCAGGCTTACCATATTTCGAGATGCAGCTCCTGAAAGCTGTCAAGTAAGGCAAGGATCGCTTAAGCCTTTATAATTCTCGCACGCATCCAGCTATGTGAAAAGCAAAAACAATGCCATCCGAAATCGGATTATCGGCTTTGACAAGCGACGCATTTCTCAACGAAAAACCCAATAAACAAACCAGCCATGAATAAGAGAACACTCTTGATATCAGCTGTGTTTCATTTTGTACATCCAGTGGAAAAAGACAGTTAAAAACATCACAAGTTGACTCAAAACTCTGTCAGCTTCAGCTGTCAAAGTAATCAACTTTAAAGATGCTGCATAAAATTTACGCATGAATTCACCTGTCCAATTTTAACAAATCAGAGCATAAAAACTAGACATGGAGCGTGACCAACACGTGACCATGGTAAGAGGTCTTTCCCGCCTGTATTTTAAAAAACTGGCTGAATTTTTGCGTCTGAGGTCAGTTTGAAATCAAAATCGTAATAGTGCGGGGTGATACTGACATAATCACAACATATTTGATATGAATTTAAAGAAAAAGTAAACGTGAGCCTGTGATCATTTGGAAACGAATAAATTGTCAGCGGATAACTTCAAAATAATACTCGACCTTGATGGGTCGACACCTGAGCCCGCGATACGGTCAGGTGATACTGGTCAGCGGATACCCTGTTTTGACAGCTGTCAATTGAGAACAACATTGATGTGCAATCAGCTTCCTCCTGGGCTCCCAAAGTAGCTACAAAGTGCGAGAGTAAACATTGGTATGCCTGTGGCGCGGACGGACGGTCGGTCGGTCGGTCACAAGATTTCCAAATTTCCTGGGATGGGTAGATTACCTTAGCTATGGGGCTATGTGAAAGGGAAGGACGTTGTGCCTAAATTATTCTCGAAAAGCACTGTTTTTGCTTTCCCTCACTGTGACTGTGGAATTTGACGCTGGATAGGTCGACCTGATTGCTCTTCAATTTCATATTCTTGCTCCACTGAATCAGAGCTAAACAAAGACCCAGCTTCATTAATCAATTTGTTGTTGTTGTTGTTGTTCAATAGAAAGCCGCTCGTTGTAGGATTTACTTGAGGCCCATTATGGTCCGTTATGGACTTGAGAAAGTGTTAAGAGGTGTAAAAGCTCTTCAAACACGCAAAAAGTCTGCTAGTGGTTTTGAAAACTTACTCCTGCAAGGACTTGCGAGCCATTCTGAAAATTTTTAAGGTACACTAATAATTTGTTGTTGTTGTTGTTGTTACATAATCAGCTCGACTTACGGGAAAATTAAGCTTATAGTTTCTTTATATTCGTGAGGAAACTTCGGAGTATCATTAAATAATTTCAAACCAAAGTTTGTTGCTTTTTCGTCGCTGTCAGTATGGTATTTTGTTTTTTTTGTTGTTTCGTTGGTAGAAAGCTACCTAAATCTACTTTTTTCCGCTGCTTTGTCTGAGAGAAATTTTGTTGCTTTCCATATAAGGTCAAACTAAG